TCCAAAGCTATTCTTTCCCTTACGGCTCCAGTCCCTATTCCTAAAGCCACCAGTGATAGAAGCTGCCTGTTCTACTCTGCCCTTCTTTTGTCTATCTTTCTGTAGAGAAGAGAAAAGGCTAGAGCAGAGAGGCACCAAACGACACTGTCATGGTGGTTTGTACTTGATTCCACTTGTATTTTGAGCAATTAATTAGTGGTGCAGAAAGAGCTCATATTGGGTACCATCCCTTTCTTAGAGATTTCCTCAATACCCCAAGAGTGCCTATTTGCATCTCAGAGGTCTGTAGTACTATAACAAAACATTTAATATAGTTTTCCCTGTGTAATTTCACAGTAATAAAAGAAAACATGGAAAAGCAATACAGTGCAGTCTCACAAACTTAATGTCAGCCAGAGACATAAAATATCTGCATATGTACAGAATTCACAAGTCTGTTCTTTTTGTATTTCATTTAACAACTAATTCTAAAAAGTATTTCTCCATTTTCTGACCTGAAGTTAGGTTTATTCACGCTGACTCTTAGTAGGATGCTATGTCATTGCAGGCCCTGGGGGTTGTTTGAGATTCAGAGGAAAGGAAGGCTGGTAATCTAGGTGGATAAGGCCAATGATTTCAGTGACCCTAAATATTACAGCATATGATATTAAGAATACACTGCACTAAAAAAGCTTTTTCCTTTGAACTCTGCCCATCTTTGGGTGGCATTGAACTGTCAGTGAAGAACTCCATACTCAGCACCAAAAAAGTTTGGGGTCAGTTTTGTCATTCTTCACCTTATCATTATCATTTTTAAAACTGCCCAGTTATGTTTTCATCTGGAATAGTCAGCCCCTTCTTTTTACTCTCCCAAGGCTGTTCCATGGGTACTTCCCGTTGGCTTCATCTGAGTATTGCTCAGGATTATGCTCTTGTAGGATTATGTGTATGTTTTATGGTGGTGAAACTGGATCGCCCATGTTTATGTTACTTTAATATTTTAATCAGCACAATATTCATTTGATATATGTCATATTACTCCTTAAACTATGCTTAAATTGAAGGGCTTGAGATCATGCAATCTTCCATGTATAATTGGGCACTTCTTTATTCAACTAAAAAGATCTCTTGGAGAATGTAGGTTTTCAATGATGAAAGGAAGATAATTTGTTGAGCAGGTAATAGATTAAGAAGAGGCAAGATTTCTAGGCATTTGGTGCTCTGGAGAAAGGCTAAAGGTCCACCTTTGAAGTTATTCCATTGTTCTCCACGAATAAAAAATCCCATGGTTGACTGTGCTAGTTCCTGGTATTTTGCTCCCTTCAACAAGGAAGAAAGGTAAAATGGCTATTTGATTTTGACTTAGATGCATAAAGTAGTGACACAGCATATTTCTCTTCCAACCCGCACCCTGTTTTGATTATGCGTGGTTCTGTTGAAAAATAAATTGCTTTAGAAAAATTAAATGTTTATAGTTGTACTGGTAGGGTTTTAGAAGCTTGGGCAAAAACTTGGTATTTCAGGAAAATTTCATTTGACGGGCTTTGTTGATTTTCTGCCACTTACAACTTTGAATTGGGTATTATATGTATACTTTTGTGTATGTAGTTATTGTAAGAAAGAACCTACTAATTTATTTTTTCCAGTTTTACTGATATGTAACATATATAACGTGTATTAGTTTTAGGCGTACAACATAACTATTTGATATGTATATATATTACAAAATTCTTACTACAATTAGTTTAGTTAACATCCATCACCTCACATAGTTACAAAATGGTTTTTTCTTGTGAAGAGGAACCTAGTAATTTAAATCCATGGCATTTGGTTTCTTATTACCTACTTTGAGAAAGGTTGTCAAAATATGATTACAGCTTTTCCTCCAAATCATAGGAATCTCCAACAAAGCTTTGATAAACTGAGACTCTCTGATGGGAATCTCTGTATACTATTTACTGCTACCAGAAATCATGTAAGAAGCCTCCTTTGCTATATATAGAAGCAGTTCAGGGCCACCAAAATCTCCTATGGAGCTCCTTTGTGTGATCTAGGAAATCTGAGAGGAGGGTTGAGATGTGGTATGCATCACGCCTTCTCTGCTCATGGGTCATCACCACTGGATCTTGGCTCCCTTTACCTGCTGAGCCTGATGCATGCTCAGGGTGCTCAAATAGTCCTCCAGGGAGTCAGTCAGAGTTGGAGATACAGATGAAATTTAATATCTACCCCTCTCCTTGATGGGGAAAGTGGAACTAAGTTATTCTCAAAATTACGTTTCTTGAAATGGGATTTACCCAAGTTGAGCCCATCCTCTAGGAGTGCAAGATTTGTTATCTGGATATTGAGTCCTGGTTCTGACCTTTACCAGTGGGGTGATAGTGGGCAAGTCACTTGGCTTCTCCAAGCCTCAGTTTTTTCATTTATGAAGTGGGAAGAGGTCATACCTACTTCAGAATACTGAGGATTAAATAAAGTAATTTTGGGGAAGTGCTTGGTATACTGTGTAGCCCAACAGTTCTCAGACTTTTCATCTCATAACCCCTTTATACTCCTAAAAATGATTGAGTTTTGTTTATGTATATTATATTTATTAGAATTAAGAAAATTTCAAAGTATTTATTAATTTAAAAAATCAACAATAAGCCCATTATCTAGCAACATAAATAACATGAAAAATAACTGTATTTCCCCAAAAAAAGTTAGTGAAAAGAGTAGTCTGTCTGCTTCTGCATTCAATCTGTTGCAATATCACACATCATATAGCCTCTGGAAAATTCCACTGTAAACGTATGAAAGAATGAGAATGAAGAAGGCAAATGATATCCTAATAATAGTTTGAAAAGAGTTTTGACCTCATGGAACCCAGAAAGGGTCTTGGGGACCTCAGACCAATCGTTAGCATAGCCAACATTTAGCACCCAATAAATTTAGTTATTATTGATATATATGGAAGTTTTTGTAACTAGTGATGAGAAGTAAAGGCAATTGCTTCAAAACTTCTTGTTCTGTACTTTCCTAAAGGGTCCCAAATAAGACTGTGATTCAAACTAAGCAAAAGAAATAACACTGTTTTTTAAATAAATACTAATAATACATGAACAAGTTCTTTGAATTTTAAAAGGCTCAAATCTTGCTTTCAGGAATTTGTCAAATGTATTATCATAAAGCTTTTATTTTTTTTTTCCAGAGAAGACTCTTTTTCCCTCCTAGGGTAATAAGATCTTAGTAGAGAGAGAAGTAATTTGATATTTACTCTGAAACCACTGATAGTGTTCCTATGGGGTTTTGGCAGCCCACCAGTTTAAGAAGGTGTGGCCCCATTGTCACCATGCTGGGCTTCACGACTGACAGGTCAATCTTGATTTACTAGTTGGAGAACCTTCACTTAAAGCACTTATTATGGTTTGATCCTCAGATACAAGATCCCTTAAAGGGGCTTTTTGAAAGCCCCTTTGGATTCTAAAGACAAGAAGCAAAAGTGATGTAACAGATAAATCGATAAGTTGTCTCAAGAAACATAGGTAAAGTTCATATAGTTCCAATCTTAGGATATATGGGTATAGTTTATATCAGCTATCTGTGTACTTTGCAGACATATGGCCCTCTAATTGTATCAATGTTCTCCTTTCTCTTTTTCCTTGGGAGGTAGTGTAGACCATGGGGAATTCATATGCTGGGCAACTGAAATCTGCTCGATTTGAAGAAGCTCTCCACAACTCCATAGAAGCCTCTCTCAGATGTAGTAGTGTGGTACCACGACCAATTTTTTCCCAGCTTTACTTGGACCCTGACCAGCATCCTTTCTCATCTGCAGGTAAGTTTCTCAATCCCACACATTTCTAGACTCCTTTTAATAGAAGTGGGATCTCCAAATCTGGGGGTATCTGAAATAAATGGGTTAAATGTTAGCCAATGCCAGTCTCCCTGTCCTCAGATATTTTTCAGAACTATGAATTTTTCTTTTGGTTATTTTTCCCACAAGCATTTTTATTAAGTTAGCTGTGATTTATTTGCTTACCCAGATGTAAAACCCAAGGTGGAGGATCTGGATAAAGATTTGGTACACCGCTACACTCAAAATGGAAGCCTGGATTTTTCTAACAATCTAACAGTAAATGAAATGGAAGATGACGAAGATGATGAAGAAATGTCTGATTCAAATAGCCCACCAATTCCCTATTCACAAAAACCTGCCCCCGAAGGGTCTTGCACTACAGATGGTGGGTTGCCTTTTTTTTTTTTTTTTCCAGTTCCTCTAATATTGTCTGGCTAGTTTCCAATCATTGCATGGGGTGCTCAAGGCTGGAAACCAGTAATTACAGAAAGGAATGAGGAATGATTATGCTTTCACTCACATTATTGCCTGTGATTTCATAGCAGGTGTCTATTAAGAAAGACAAGCATTATCACCCCATCTTGTAGATGAAGGGACTGAGATTCACAGCAATTGAATGACTTCTCTGAGATGGTATGTGGCAGAGGCAAGCCTAGACCTAGCTCAGGACTTTTTCAATGCTCCAGGTGCTTCCTGCAAGAATGTGACTCTTTCAGAAACTTTATTTTAGTGATCTCTCTTTCTACATCTTTCTGTTCCACTCTCAAAACAATTACAGAGATAGCAGGTGTTTTAATATTTACCTTTTCCATATATTTTGAAAATTCATCCAGTATACTGTTATCTCTAGAAGATTAAAATGAACATATTTTGATAATCCCATTTTATTTATCTTCAACCTCCTCTTCTACCAAGGCTTTAACCACACTTTTAAAAAGAAAATCCTACATAAAACATTTTCAGTATTTCATGGTTTTGGTGATGTAACAACTTAAATTATACTCACTTACCTCCATTTAGTGGTATACGGTGCTGTTTTCTGGCCATCCCAGCCTGATTTCTAATTAGTTCATAATTTGATAGTTTATAGTTTGCCCATAGCTCTTCCAGCTTGGCTCATTCTAAGGTAGTTAGTTCTAAGAGTCCTCTCCCTCAAAGGGAGAACAGCCCTGAAATTTTCCTTATGAAAATGACAGTGAAATAGAGCAATACAGTGCCTGGATTTGTTTCAGCATACCACCTTCTCTTCATGGGAAATCCTCTATTTACCTAAGACTCCTAAGACTTAAAGGAAGGTAAAGCTATTTTTAGAGGCAATTTAGATAAGCAGATACTTAACACCCCATGGGCTTCTGGGGGTGCCATTCAGATGTAAATTCTGGTTGCTAATTTCTTATGTAAATTATTGGTAGGTTCCTACCCTGCTGGGAGGCAGTTGATCGTCTAAAGGGGTAAAGGGCCGCCAGATTTTAGGCCTCCAAATACTGCTTTGATTAGTTTGTGTTTACAGCTGTTTCAGTAAACTTCCCCTCCCCCATTTAGATTACTCTGTAACCTTCAAGCTGGAGATAATTGGAGAATGCAAAATCTGGTTCTGTGAAGTGAAAACCTTGGCTATTAAGGAAATGCAGATGAGGTTCACAAAGAAGGGCTCTGTACTATGGCTCCCCTTTAAAATTAAAATAACTTGCTGCAAGAGTCTTGCTTTTAAGGCAGCATGTCAGTATTACTCCCAGAAAATGCGTTTGAGAGTAGGGGCAAGGTTGTCAAATAAATTATTTGTGTGCCCCATAACGTACTTTTCTTTCCTTGACTACAGTAAATAGGCTTACACCCCGCTCCCCCACTTAGGGTACTTTTCCCCAGGTCCTCCAGTAGCCTCTAAAAGAAAGATCCTATCTTTCTTTCAGGATTAGTTCAGATATAATTTAAAATTACCTTAGAGGGGAGTAATAAGGTTACTTCTTATTTTATCTTAGGTTTTAATTGAGATTTAATATTTATTATATTAATTTTCTGACATATTTCTAATAGTGGGGAAATTGAACTACCTGCTACACCAGATATTTGGATCCTATAGGTCTTGAAATATAATCACATTTCATAGATTCTTTAGCTACTTCTTTAGAGACACACAGAGCTTATTTTCAATCTTTTTAAAAAACTAAATTAAATATTGCTCTTTGCATAATATATTTTTTTCTTAACTGGGGATCCCTGATGATATATTTTGTATATAATTAGCTGATCTGAATCACAAGAATGAAGGTTTGGAGGAAACAGTCCAGACCCTTGTGAGCATATTCTCAAACTAACTACAAAGTGAACTCAGGAACTTTTCCTTGACTTTGCAACCATTTCTGGCCTTGGATTGATTTCTTCGTGACCCTGTTCCTGGACTCAGCCTTGCCTTTTCTTTCTCACCTATTCTCTTTCCTCTTAATTAAATCACCTGTGTGACTTGTGCTGGTGATGAACTGGAAGGCAAGAAGATAAAACAGGACATTTTAAAAATGGACTTTTAAAAAAATTTAAGTGTAGTTGATTTATAATGATGTGTTAATTTCTGCTGTACAGCAAAGTGATTCAGTTATACATATATATATATACACACACACACATATATATTCTTTTCCATTATGATTTATCACAAGTTACTGAGTACAGTTCCCTGTGCTATACAGTAGGACCTTGTTGTTTATCCATTCTACGTATAATTTGCATCTGCTAACCCCATACTCCCAATCCATCCCTCCCCGTTCCTTGACAACCACAAGTCTGTTCTTTGTTAGACTTTAAGAACAGTTTTAGATTTACAGAAAAATTGCTAAAATAGTACAGAGTTTCTATATATCCCCACAGTTTGCCCTATTGTTAGCATGTTACATTACTAGTAATTTTAATAATAATGAAAGTCCATAGTTTATTTGTGTTCTTTAGTTTCTACCTAATGTCCTCTTTCTGTTCCAGAATCCCATCTGGGATACTACATTAGATTTAGTTGTTATGTCTCCTTAGGCTCTTCTTGGCTGTGACAGTTTCTCAGACTTCCCTTGTTTTGGCTGACCATGACAGTTTTCGGGATTATAGGTCAGGTATATTCTAGCAGACCGTCTATAGGAGTTTGTCTGATGTTTTTCTCCTGATTAGACTGGGGTTATGGGTTTGGGGGAGGAAGATCACAGAGGTAAAGTGCCATTTTCATCATACTATATCAAGGGTACGTACTATCAACATGATTTATGACTATTGATGTTGACCTTGATCACCTGGCTGAGATAGTGTTATCTCCACTCTCCCCCCACCCCGCCCCCATTACCATACTGTGGAAGAAAGTCACTGCCCTCAGCCCACACTTAAGGAATACGGAGTTATGCTCCACATCCTTGAGGGCAGAGTATCTAATACATTATTTGGAATTCTACTGCATGGAAATTTGTCTCTTCTCCCTCATTTATTAATTTATACAGTCATTTATTTATATCATTATACACTTATGAATATTTATTTTATGTTTTGGGTTATAATCCAATACTACTTTATTCTATTTTTTTGCTCCAATTTTTCCAGTTTTGGCCACTGGTAGCAATTTCAGTTGGTTCCTGTGCCCCTTTTATATGCTCCCATGATTACAGTTTTCTTTTTAGGATAAAATAGGACATTTTCTCTTTTCATTGTCACAAGCACTTTCTGAAAAAAATTTTAAGAGGAGGTTTGCTTCCTCCTTCTATGAGAAAAACATTCTCCTAGAATCGTCATTAATAATTATTACTTTTCACCTCTAGGTGTCCTCATATCATAAATGGGAAAACCTTCAAATGCTGTAGCACTGAAAGCTATTTGTGCTTCTTTTTTTTTTTTTTTTTGTGGTACGCGGGCCTCTCACTGTTATGGCCTCTCCCGTTGCGGAGCACAGGCTCCGGACGCGCAGGCTCAGCGGCCATGGCTCATGGGCCCAGTAGCTCCACGGCATGTGGGATCTTCCCGGACCAGGTCATGAACCCGTGTCCCCTGCATCGGCAGGTGGACTCTCAACCACTGCGCCACGAGGGAAGCCCCTTTGTGCTTCTTAATTTGAGTGGACTGTGTAGTTTTCATTATACCACAGAAATCACTCTGAAATCATCTTTCTTCCAGAGAAAATCCTGCTTTCTTCAGATATTTTCCACACTGACTGTGTCTTCTCTACTCTATCCCTGTTTAGCCCAAAACTGAAATTGTACTTTTCCCCCTTAATCTCCCTTTGGCTGCAATGTATTGCTTTGAGAAAACTCATCAGAAATGTCACTCTCTAATCAAGGGACACTTTTGTGACTTGCAAAACCATGAATTTTAAGGATTCATCAGCAGGTGTGAGAGAGGTGGTTGCTGACATAGTCCACGGCTGGCAGGGGCTACTGTGTCAAGTACCCCCAGGATTCAGCCTGGAAAGTTGAGTGATGAGACTCAGCAAGGATAGGCAAGGAAGAAGCTATAGGAGAGGGTCCTACATCAGACCAGGGAAGGTGAAGCATTCTGTGAGTCAGAGCGGATGTTAATGAGGACGAAGGAGGCTGTGACCTGGAGTCAAGAGACCTGGGTCCCAACTTGGTGGGTTGCTGGGTATTTGACCTTGGGCTGTTTTCTTAACCTTTATGGGCCCTAGCTTCCTCATTTACATACTAAAGAGATTGGGATAGATTAGTGTTACCCAATCTTTGACTTACAAATCTCTCTTATAGTAATACATAATCTTTTGAACCCCTTAGGAATTTAAAAGCTAATTCTGTCACTATATGGCATGTGATAAAGAATAGATTTTAAGTAGAAAATATTTATTTTAGATTAGTATATTAATATACTCTGAAAAAATATATATACTCTGGTATTACTCATTCATGAGAAAATATTGCCTATATTTTATCATTCAGTCATTGCTGTTTAATTTACTTTAAATTGTTTGTGTAAGGAGAAGCATGTTTTGTTGACAAATTCAAAAATAAAATGTTATACTTTTGGGGGGGTGGAGAAGGGGAGCCAAGTGTATTTAAATATTTCCCAGCATCAAAAAAAGAGTCAAAATCTACTTTTAATACCCAAATTTGGGGGTTTGTATGTTTTAGGATTAAAAGGATGTACTAATTTATTTTTATAATTTTTGCTCTACGTGATGAAAACGTTTCAGGCTTTTGTTTGCAGAATTTCTCTATAAATAAATGCTGCTGAAAGAGGTAGGCTTTTCCCTCTTACATGAAAAGCCAGATTGGATTATAATCACTAAAGTTTTACCTTATCATTGCTTTTTTTTTTTTTTTTTTTGGTGCCCCAGAAACATAGTGGTGCATTTTATATAATTTTTTTTTTTTTTTTTTTGGTGCCCCAAAAAAATAGTGGGGCTTTTTTTAAAATTTTTTTTTTTTTTTTTTTGGTGCCCCAAAAAAATAGTGGGGCTTTTTTTAAAATTTTTTTTTTTTTTTTTTTGGTGCCCCAAAAAAATAGTGGGGCTTTTTTTAAAATTTTTTTTTTTTTTTTTTTGGTGCCCCAAAAAAATAGTGGGGCTTTTTTTAAAATTTTTTTTTTTTTTTTTTTGCAGTACGCGGGCGTCTCACTGTTGTGGCCTCTCCCGTTGCGGAGCACAGGCTCCAGACGCGCAGGCTCAGCGGCCATGGCTCACGGGCCTAGCCGCTCCGCAGCATGTGGGATCTTCCCAGACCCGGGCACGAACCCAAGTCCCCTGCATCAGCAGGCGGACTCTCAACCGCTGCGCCACCAGGGAAGCCCCATTTTATATAATTTTATAATTTGATGAGTGGGGTTTGGGGTTGAATCTAACTTTCATATCTAGCAGAGAGTGTCTTAGATACATTTATAAAATGACTGTGTCCATAAAATCCGTGTTCCCTAAGCTTCCCATTATTAGCCAACAGCCCATTATGGGTATATAAATTAAGCAACACATCAATACATGTGAATGACAATAAAATCAATTTTAAAATGTGTAATAATCAAAACTACACATTGATATGGGGTTCAACTGAGTGAGTCCTGAGTTCGTTCAGCTGATTTCCACTACCCCTACATGTGTAGCATGGAAAGCCCTTAGAACATTCTGTTTTAAAATTAGGATATTAGGGACTTCCCTGGTGGTGCAATGGTTAAAATCCACCTGCCAGTGCAGGGGACACAGGTTTGAGCCCTGGTCCGGGAAGATCCCACATGCCACGGAGCAACTAAGCCTGTGCACCACAACTACGGAGCCTGCACTCTAGAGCCCACGAGCCACAACTACTGAAGCCCGCGTGCCCTAGAACCTGTGCTCCATAACAAGAGAAACCACCGTAATGAGAAGCCTGCTCACCGCAACAAAGAATAACCCCCCCTCGACAAAACTAGAGAAAGCCCGCACACAGCAACTAAGACCCAATGCAGCCAAAAATAAATAAATTTATTAAAAATAATAATAATAAAGTGAAAGTAGGATATTAGAATAATTATTTATTAGTTTTCAGAAATTGGTAATGTTATCTATTTTAGTTTCACTTATAGTTCCCAAGTATCATGGAATACCTTTATGAATCTCTGGGATTTTGATAACTACTTGTTGGAAAATCCTGTTATCAGATGCCTTGAGGTTCCATATAGCTCTGATGTTCTAAAAAGCTTGTAATAATTTGCAAATTGGTACAGATTGGTACAGACTTGACTATTCTTTCTAATATGGAATGACTGAAAGTTTAGAAAGGTTGTCGTACTACTTCTTAGTGACAGAGAAAGCTCCTCAAGCATCCTGTTTCCATCAATAGGTAATCATAAACCTCTCATCATTGAATTTTCTACACCATTTGGGAGGGTATTTTATGTTTTACCTTTTGGAGAAAGTCATAATAAAGGTGCTATCTCCTAGGGGAGATAACGTTTCTAGGTTTACTGTCTCTACACAAATTAATAATTCCTTTGATTAAAAAAAATAATGCTCCTTTTAAGACTTTAAAATGCCCCTACGTTTAGTATTTCAGAATTTCATGAAAAAGTCTGTGTTCACCCCTCCAGGTTTTAGCTCTGGATTATAACTATTCTTAAGCTCTTTTTTTGGCCAAGTTGAATAATATGCTTTTTACCTGTTCTTATATAGCAAACTTTCCATGTCTTACATCACTGGACATTATGGGACTCATTTTGTAACCTTGGACAAATACTCTCACCTTTCTGAGCCTCATTTTCTCCATATATGAAAAAGAGATAGTGATAACTAGCTAGAGTTGTTGACAGAATTAAATGAGAAAATCTCTGCAGTGTTTAGCACTGTACCTGTCTTATGTTAAGCACTGCATAAATTTTAACTGCCACTAGTATCATCATCATCATCATCATCATCATCATCATCATCATCATCATCTCCCAACTGTCAAACCTGTGAGTTTTGTCCCTTAATGGGGGTGGGGACAGCAGATTTTTTTTAAGGGTTCTATGTATCTATAGGCTCCAAAATATGTTTGTAAACTGAATAAATAATATGACTCATGTATAAATGACTATTGTCCAAATAAATATAGATGATATTGTGAATAATAAAATACAGATTCATTTAAATTGTTAAAGAATTCACAATAACATTTTTTTTTTTTTTTTTTTCCGATATGCGGGCCTCTCACTGTTGTGGCCTCTCCTGTACAGGCTCCAGACGCGCATGCTCAGCTTGCGTTATGCGGGCCTCTCACTGCTGTGGCCTCTCCCATTTGCGGAGCACAGGCTCCGGACGCGCAGGCCCAGCGGCCACGGCCCACGGGCCCGGCCGCTCCGCGGCACGCGGGACCCTCCCGAAACGGGGCACGAACCCGCGTCCCCTGCATCGGCAGGCGGACCCTCAAGCACTGCGCCACCAGGGAAGCCCCACAATAACATTTTGATATTATTTTTCTCAATTTGTGAACACTAGAAGTTATATTTGAATTTTTTAATGTTAAAAGGGGATCTACAAGCTTGAAATGGTTGAAGCCCAGTGTCTTTATCATTCTAGTCTTTGATTTCTTGCTTTTTGTAATTCATTGTGTCTGCTTTTGAGGTTTAATTATCCAGACCATGCAGCAGATTCCTATGCACCATAGCTTCATACAATGTTTGGATGTTGTTTTCTTTTTATTTCTCATATACTAACTGATGGTATCCAACTGTTTCTTGGCATTTGGTTAACATCATAATATGAATTGATGCTGGGAGAACCTAGCATGGTTCTGGCCCACTTTGTATTGAGCAATAATGATGGTGGTCTCCTCAGGTTTGTGTGTGAGAGTTAGGTGTCCATCCTCCATTGTCCTGGTTTATGCCAGGTACCCACACCTGGACTGATCAGCTATGACCAGAAAGGTGGGATATTCCAGTGGCCCCTCTTGGACTGGGTGCCAGCTCCAGCTCAATCTGGAATATCACAGCTGTCCAGGGAAATCACATAACTAGAGTGGTGGGAATCATTTCCCAGAAGATGTGGAGATTGGTGCTTTGTAGCAGAACATAGCTGTCCTCTGTAATATTGTTTTGTAATGATCAGTTCCTTATACATTCTTCTAATTGGCTACAAGTGAGTTCTTAGAGGAAGGTATACTTTGTTCAGCTCTATCCCCAGGCCTAGGACAACATCTGTTCCAAATCATTTTTAATAAATGACGAACTAATGAATTAATGTAATACATTATGGTTACAAAGTGGTTATGTAAGGTTTTTTGTTTTTTTTTAACTGACCATCATCAAAAAATCTACAAACAATAAATGCTGGAGAGGGTGTGGAGAAAAGGGAACCCTCTTGCACTGTTGGTGGGAATGTAAATTGATATGTAAGGTTTTGTCATGTCTTACCTAGTGCAAGTAACCTAAACAGTTCTGATCCATTCATTTATGATTCACCAAACTCTGAACTTCAGTCTCTTCCTATATGAAATGGAGAACATCTGCGTTCTATGATTGTCCCCATTTAGAGAAGTGAATTTGCATTGAAAGTAAAAATACTATATTATGTGCACATAAAAATTCCGTATGTTTTTCAGAGTTTGCTGTGTATTTATCATTTGCTTACTTGTGAATCAGAAAATATAAAGTCAACAGTGTTGGCTAAAACAGTTGGAAATACCTCCTTTTAGTGTCTTTTTAGCTCTGCTCAGAGGAGCACATATGATAGATATGTCTTTGGTTGGAGTACATGGACTTTAAATTTAGTCCTTAATAGTGATTCCCACAGGTAATCAACTCTCCAAATGGGTGATGAGGAGTTATAAACTCTCTAAACATTCCACTGTGTCCTTTTTACTGGTTTTTAGGTTTTTGTCAAGCAGGAAAGGATTTGCGTTTGGTATCTCTGTGTATGGAACAAATCGACATCCCAGCAGGATTCCTCCTGGTGGGGGCCAAGTCTCCCAATCTTCCTGAACACATCCTAGTGTGTGCTGTAGACAAGCGATTTCTACCAGATGATCATGGAAAAAATGCACTTTTAGGTGAGTATCTCATACCTATAAAGTTCCTTCTGAGATAAAGGAGTTAAAATACAAGTTTATTTTAAATTATCACAGAATTTTTAAAATCACAGAAGTAGCTGGGGATTACATATTAGTTTAAGTAAGAAACACTTTTTCATTTAGTAACTTCTTAAAAATTAGCTTTCACTTTTTTATTAACTCTCAAAACATTCACCTTAATGAAGAGACTTTTTAAAACTAACATTAAAGAACACCATACAATTTATCAAAAATAAATATTTTGTGAAATAAAGTAGGATTCACTCTCCATAGAGTCATTGATCTGGATCTGATATCAAATCAACTCTCAATTATTCAACTGTGGATTATCCACTTTGTAAGTCATTGGTAGTTTTTCTCTACCACCCATTATTTCTAACTACACTTGATTGATGTGATTCTCATTTTATATGTAGCATTAGTTCAATCAAGATAACTAGGAATATACCTATGACGTAAAATGTTTTAACTTTAGTCAGAATTGTGTTAGTTTCTAGTATTACTTTGGACTTTTTTCACAACATAGCTTTCCTACATCATGGGAAATAACAAAGAGTGGGTTTACTCTTTAATTATTCTTTTTTAAACTGAAGCATAATTCATTTACAATATTATATTAGTTTCAAATGTACAGCATAGTGATTCAACATTCTTACAGATTATACTCCATTAAAAGTTATTACAAGATAATGGTTATAATTCCCTGTGCTGAAATATATATTCATGTTGCTTATCTGTTTTATACTAGTAGTTTGTATCTCTTAATCCCTGACCCCTATCATCCCCCCGCTTCCCTTTATCCACTGGTAACTACTAGTTTGTTTTCTATATCTGTGAGTCTGTTTCTGTTTTGCTATATACATTCATTTGTATTATTTTTTGAATTCCATATGTAAGTGATATCATACAGTATTTGTTTTTCTCTGTCTGACTTATTTCACTAAGCATAATACCCTCTAGGGTCATCCACGTTCCAACAGATGGCAGAATTTCATTCTTTTTTGTGACTGAGTAATATTCCATTGTGTGTGTGTGTGTGTGTGTGTGTGTGTGTGTGTGTGTGTGTGTGTATCACATCTTCATTATCCATTTGTTTGTTGATGGATACTTAGATTGTTTCCATATCTTGGCTATTGTAAATAATGTTGCCATGAACATTGGGCTGCATGTATTTTTTCAAATTAGTGTTTTCATTTTCTTTGGCTATATACCCAGTACAGGAATTATTAAATCATGTAGTAGTTCTATTTTTAGTTTTTTGAGGAACCCACATTACACTTTTCCATAGTGGCTGCACCGATTTACATTCTCACCAACAGTGTACAAGGGTTTCCTTTTCTCCACATCCTCACCAACATTTGTTATTTGTAGACTTTTTGATAACAGCCATTCTGACAGGTGTGAGATGATATCATTGTTGTCTTGATTTGCGTTTCTGTAATAATTATCAGTGTTGAGCATCTCTTCATGTGCCTATTAGCCATCTGTATGTCTTCTTTGCAAAAATGTCTATTCAGGTCTTCTGCCCATTTTTGATTGGGTGTTTTGTTTTTTTGATACTGAGTTGTATGAGCTGTTTATGTATTTTGGATAGTAACCCCTTTTGGTAATATCATTTGCAAATATTTTCTCCCATTCCATAGGTTGTCTTTTCATTTTGTTTATGGTTTCCTTTGCTGTGCAAAAGTTTTTAAGTTTAATTAGGTCCCATTTATCCCATTTGTTTATTTTTGCTTTTATTTCTTTTTCCTTAAGAGACAGATCCAAAAAAAATATTGCTACGATTTATGTCAGAGTGTTCTGCCTACATTCTCTTCTAGGAGTTTTAGGTTTTAGGTCTTACATTTAGGTCTTTAATCCATTTTGATTTTATTTTTATACATGGTGTGAGGAAATGTTCTAATCTCATTGTTTTACATATAGCTGTCCAGTTTTCCCAGCACCTCTTATTGAAAAGACTGTCATTTTTCCATTGCATATTCTTGCCTCGTCTGTCATAGATTAATTAACCTAGGTGTGGGCTCTCTATTCTGTTCCATTGATCGATGTGTCTATGTGCCAGTACCATGCTGTTTTGATTACTGTAGCTTTGTTGTAGAGTCTGAAGTCTATGAGGGTGATACCTCCAGCTTTGTTCTTTTTTCTCAAGATTGTTTTGGCAACTCAGGGTCTTTTGTGGTCTCATATGAATTTTAGGATTATTTGTTCTAATTCTGTGAAAAATGTCATGGGTATTTTGATAGAGATTGCATTAAATCTGTAGATTGCTTTCAGTAGTATGGCCATTTAAACAATATTAATTCTTCCAATCCAAGAGCATGGGATATCTTTCCATTTCTTTGTATCATCTTCAGTTTAATTCGTCAGTGTTTTATAGTTTTCAGAGTATAGGTTTTTCATTTCCTTGGTTGAGTTTATTCCCAGGTATTTTATCCTTTTTGATGTGATCTTAAATTAGATTATTTTTCACTCTCTCTTTCTGATAATTAATTATTGGTGTATAGAAAAGCAACACATTTCTGTATGTTAATCTGTATCCTGCAACTTTGCTGAATTTATTAGTTCTAATAGTTTTGGGGTAGAGACTTTTGGTTTTTCTATAAAAAGTATCATGTCATCTGTAAATAGTGGCAGTTAGACTTCTTCCCTTCCAATTTGAATTTATTTCTTTGTCTTATCTGATTGCTGTGGCTAGGTCTTTCAATACTAGAAGTGGCAAGAGTGGGCATCTTTGTCTTGTTCCTGAATTTAGAGGAAAGGCTTTCAGCTTTTCACCTTTTGAGTATGATGTTAGCTGTGGATTTGTCATAAATGGCCTTTATTATGTTGAGATATGTTCCCTCTGTACCCTTTTTTTTTTTTTTTTTTTTTTTTTTTTTTTCTTGCGTTATGCGGGCCTCTCACTGTTGTGGCCTCTCCCATTTGCGGAGCACAGGC